ACTAGATTAATCAAGAAAATTAGCACAAAATCATCTCCTTCTTCAAGCTTGGTCGAAACCACCATTTCTCCAAGGAAAACATTTTATTTTCATTTTTAAGCTTACATGATTGATTTTTTGACTAAGTTATGAATAATAGAATTAATCTACATGAAATTCTCTATCAGTTGGGGCCAATATTTCATAGTGAAGATGCTTATATATTGAGATTGAAGGTTAGGGTTTATGTAGGGTTTCTGAACTTTGAAGAATCAATGAAAGATTATTATGTTTTTGATGTTGGAGATTAATTTTTAAGCTTGTATGATGTTTAAAATCAAGTGTAGAATGATTTAAAGCATTTAGCCTAATTAGGGTTTTTGTGATTGATTGGATTTTGGTTCAATTTGATGTTGTGTTGATTAGAATAACATGAATTTGAAGTAAGGAAGTTGAATTCATGCTTGTAATTGAATGAAAAGCTAGTCTTATGATCATAGTGACATTCGACCATTGGGAAAAAATTAGGGAAAAATATTTAAAAATTTTCTATGGTATATAATTGATATTAGAAGCGCTATATATGACTTGAAGATCAATTTGGAGCCTTGAGTTAGTAAAAGGGTTAATATACAAGTTTTGAGAATTGTGGGATATTATTGCAAGATGAAATATTTGAAGGTTTAATGCTGATTTTTTATAGTTGAAAATGCTGTAAATTTAAGTTGGAAAGTTTTTTTTGGAACCAAATTTCAAATTTGGTAAAATTTGAGGGTGGGATTTGAAAAGTCTCAATATTATAGGGACTTGATTTTAAGTTAATTAATTGTGGAAGTATCATTTGAGTAAATTATTGTAATGCTGGAAATTTATTTAATATGTTGATTTTTGGGTTTAATTCTTAAGTTAAGATTTAATTCTAAGTTTGTCAAGTTATGTGGTTGAATTTGAAAAGTCTAAGAAAGTTTATGATGAAACTGCAAGCTTTTGAATATTTAAGTATTGATTTGAATATTTTATTGAGGTGCTGGAAATTTTATGTGATTAATGTGAAATGATGATAATGGTGAAGGGACATTATGGATTAAATAGGAAAGTTGATATGAATTCTTCAAAAAAGAATTCATAATTAGTGGTTATATTATGAATTTAGTAAAAGTTCAAGAGTTGATAGTGAACCGAAATATTGATGGAATTTAAGGAATATTTTGAGAAATTTAAAATTACGATGGAAGTATGATTTAGTTTTATATCAATTTAAGTATCAAATTTATTTTTATCGAATTTTATATTTAAGTTTAGATTATGTTAGTTCGATACTAACAAATAGTTTGAATATTCTATGTTATTATATGACGTCGTCAGTCCACGGTAAATTTAGTGATTCAAGTAGCTTGAAAGGGAAGGAAAAAGTGTCAAGAAGATTATCGTTGAGAAAATTTGATAGCAAGGCAAATGTGAGTGCATTTCATTTGTATATATGTTTCGACCAAACATTGGTTTGCGATTAGTCAGTGTCAGAGTTACTTTTCGAAGTGACTTCTAATATTATTTAAAGTGCGATTCAAGTTTATATGTTTATTTAGTAAGCTAATAAAACTAGCAAATAAGTCAAGGGCACTAGTTGGTAAAATCTGTCTAAAAATTTCGTTTTAAACGGTAAGTTTAGAAAATCACCAGAAATTCTACAAAAATGATTAGAGGATGAATCTTATACCTTTGGATTTATCAGAATAGTTTCCTTCAGAACAAATGAAACTGATTTAGAAGAGTATACAAAAAGATACGGATTTTTAATCAATGATAGGTCAAAAAACATGACAACATATTTTGTCCAAAAACAACTTCTATCAATGGAACTAGATGGAGTGTCTTATATGGTTAGATTAGTATTCGAGTCTAATTTTCAGTGGTGCAAACGAAATAATTTTTCAATATATAGATTAATACAGAATAATATTTTTTTAAAGGTAGTGCAAACTACCGAAATATAAAATTTCAATAAATTGTGTTGTGGAAGCACTTTCTAAAGCTTAGTGAGACTTATATTTGATTTATAAGTAAGTTGTTCAAATGAGTCTAGTTTATTTATTTAATTACTCTGATCGATGACGACTTGCGATAAGTCAACCTCATTTTATTTTTCAATATGATTTATAAATTTTCAATATGTAATATTTCTATAATATTTTTCATCAAGTTTTATGAGTGGTTTTGGGTATGAAATGCTCAAGTATTGTATTTATGATGATGAATTCTAAATATTTACAGTTATCAGACATTTCACAGTTATTATATATTTACAATTATCAGATGATTTTCAATTATCAGATGTTCACAGTTATCATATGTTTTACAGTTATCAGACGTAGATTAATAAATGATTGTATGATGATAAATATATGTCCATTGTATGTTGCATTGAGAGTCATATGTACATTTGGCATGCCATTAAGTTAGTATTTATCGGATTTCAGTTATTAGTTCATCTTTGGTACATTCGTGTACCAATGTTCAGCACCTTTAGTGCTCAGGTTATGATTGGAGTAAAGTGTATCATATCGCAGTTTCAGTTATAATTTGACACCGCGTTGTGCCTAGTGCGCACCTTATACTCACGCACATTATATTTTCTTACATATACATTGGATTATAAAAGTAAGTGTAAAAGTTATGACAATACATAAAAGAAAAGAACATAAAATTGAAAAGAAAGTTATGAAATATGTTATAATGAAAAGAACAAAGGTTATTTATGATATTTGATGATGACTTACATGATTTTTGATAAAATCATGAGATAATGATTTTCAATTTTTTAGAAGGAAAACGACTTGATTAACCCGGTTTGAAGTTTTAACTGTTTTTATTTAAATTTTCAGTTTATTGTTTATATTTTATGGATTTTATGTTAACTATATTTCTGTCTCACTAAGTTTTACTTAACACGCGATGATTTTTATGCGTAGGTTCGAATAAAGTAGTGGACGTGAATTGAGGAGCTTGTCAGCATCTTATGAAAAATCAAATCTACCGACAGTACCAGTAAGACATCCTAAATTTAACTTATTAGTGACATGTACATTATATATGTTGGGTTGCTTTATCAGATTTATTTTAAAAGTGTTTGTAATAATAATTAGGGATTATTTTCTTAAGTTTTGTCTAGTTTTAGTATTAATCTTATTTATGAGTGAATAGTATAAATGTTATATATTAAATGATTCAAAATCAAGCGATATTAGGAAGTTATATATGGTATGAAACAATATTGAACGACCTAATTACTTATTGAAATCAGATTAGTTTTCAATGATCAAACAATATTTTATAAATTTATATGATTAATGAAAAAAAAATTAAAGATAAAAAGGAAATTATTAAATAAAATTTTTTTTTTAAATATTTAAGTTCAACAAATATCTATTGAGTTGATGTGACATCTTTAGCTCATATTACGAGATATATACGGACTAAGGGTGCAATGCGTCATATACTTTGCTTTTGAACATATATGCTAATGCTAGGCGTTGGAGAGATGTGGCCAGGGTCCGATCTTTGATGAAATATTCAGGGGTTAAAAAGATACCAGGTTGCAGATGGGTCGAAGGAAAGGAAGGCACTGCTACCTTATGCAGGTGACAGGTCTCATCCGTATTCTGAACAAATATGTGATCTTCTTGCTGACTTAATCCAACAATTAAGGCAATTGGGTTTGTTTCTGAACATAGTGAGAAGTTGGCTCGAGCTTAAGGCATATTAATCTCTACTCCTGGGGCGCCCGTCCATATCACTGAGAACTTGCGTCTCTGTAGCGATTGCCATAATGCCATTGCTTACATATCCATGATCATTGATAATGAAATATTAAGGGATTCAAGTCGCTTCCATCATTTCAAGAACGGATCTTGCTCATGCAAAGGCTACTGGTGATACTAAACTATTGATAGCAAAGTGAATTCTGAAGAGTTGCACCTGATACGGAATGAATCTGCTTCTGATATTGAGTGCTGATCAACTAAGAGGTACAATTCGTTTCATGTAGAAATACAGGACAAAACAATATGTGATTCATCCTATATCGAAATGAATGAGTTAGTAGAGACATGAGATTGACCATTGGAATGGTATTAGGAACAGTTCCTTTCCAAGAAATCCTTTTTATGTACGCTTCCATTCTCAATGTTTGAGGCTAGCTTTAACAACCCCAATTGAAAATGTATCATATTCCAGTAATCTCACTCTGATCACACATGGTTCATCGACCAGACTTCTTAGAACTCAGGAATACAGAGGTACAAGCCTATAGAACAGATACACTCTGTCTTCTCTTAAATGCAGTTTATTTCTTTGTCGCTCTTTCATTGTGGGTTGTCACTGATTGTCACACCTTCCACAAGAGACAATGCAGCAGCAATCAGTTGCTTGCTGTCAGATTATAAATCAATGTGATATATGATTTAGATTAGCCAATCAATGAACTGAATACCATTAAAAGAATTGGTAAGACGATGCCATATACTTTGTGGATGTACGGTCTGTTATGTGATGGATTTCAAAGAAAAAAAAGCGAATTGCATGTGATAAAAATGTTTCCTATGATTGTCCGAGTTAGCAATAAGACGATCTCCTATGTTGGATTATTCAAAACATTATTCCAATACCATGCCTTAAACCTACTACAAAAAATTATCATAATAAGAAAGCTGCTGATCTCAGAAAAAAGCCTAAAATTTCTCCATCGTCTATTGGCATTACAAGAAATTCCAGTTCAACCTCTTTCCCTCCTTACACAGTGTAGTGCTGTTGGATGGTGTCGATGTCTAGTCCTTTGAGCTTAACCAAATATTCGACTTGTCCTTTGAGTGTATGAAGTTCTCTCAACCTGGTAAACACAAACAAGTTTTAGATTAGAGTCGGAACGGAACTGGCTTAGAATGTAGAAAGGATTTTATGTATATCATCTCGCGACTTTGGCACACTTCGTGGCTTGTTCGGCAATCTCTGATAGATCCTTATTGGTGCTCTCCTCATTTGTGATTTCGGGTCCCATCAATCCATAAAGGGTAAGTTGAGCTAAGGCCCATTGTGCTTCCCTCTCTCCTTTTCCATAATCCTTCTTTGTTGTGAAGGCAGTCTATGAATTGAATGTACAAACAACACTCAAACATCAATGTCATTTGGTCGTATTGCGTTTTCTTGCGTAACAAGCGAACACCGAAAGAAGTTATTAGATACCTTGTTTTGAATCAAATTATTCCAATCCTTTCCACTCAAAAAATAGCGAATTCCAAACTTGAGTACATCGAGTGGGAAGTAGAAGACTAGACTGTAGAGCCAGATAACTCCGGCCCAACCCCAGCCAATGCCTTTGATTCTGGCAAAGCCCCAGTTTGCATAAACAGCAAGTAGTGTAGCTATCTAAAATGTTGAATCCAAAACAGAAAACTTTATAACTCGAGAATAAAACATTATATTCTAGCGAACTGAAGTGAAATTTTTATATCAAACTTACGAGTTATGCCACAACGAAGGCAAACACGAGCAGGAAACCGGGACGTTTGATGAAAGACCAACTCCGAGAACGAGTGTGAAAATGAGGGCCTGACTCACTGTACTGACTTGAAGATAGACAGCAGCAGTAAGTTCATCTTGATTGTGCCTAATGGATCTTACCCCAAACTTATCCTGTAATTTGTATCGAACTTCAGAAGTTTCTTGTGGTTTTGAGAAGAACAGGAAGAGTGTTTAATTTTTCTCTTACAGAAAAGAAGTTGGAGTCATTAGCAGCCTAGAAGAAAATAATAGTCATGACAGCAAGATAGGTACCAAGGACGCTGCCGATGGCAAAAATCTCTTTGAGCTTCCATGAGTCAGGCAGGGAGATGGCTTGACTCTGTCCTTGAAAATGGTCGTAATGGTTCCATCATTGAGTATGGCCGTGATCAAAACCATGAAAGGAGAAAAATTGAGCATCCAAATAAGTGCAAGCAGCATGAAACCCAACACGATTCGGATCGTAATGGAGACAGCATAGATGGTATAGTTTTTCTTTCTCTGAAAAATGACCCTACTTGTTAGAACAGCACTTACAATGACACTCAGTCCTAGTTCTGTTAGTACAATATCCGACGCACTTTGAGCAGCATTGGTTGCATCGCCCACTGCAATTCTAATGTCTGCCTTCTTAAGTGCCGGTGCATCATTCACTCCATCTCCAGTCATGCCACAAATATGCTTCCTTGCTTGTAGCCTCTTAACAATCTCATATTTGTGCTCTGAATTAGGAAACGAGCGATATTTTTTCAAAGAACATCAATGATCAAATCATACCAAAATAGTATTGCTAATGAGCTTACCAGGGAAAACTCCAGCAAAGCCATCAGCCTTTTCAATAAGGTCATCAGCGCAGATTGTATCGAATGTGTCACCCTTATTTTGACCAAGGAGAGCAGATGATGGATACATGTTTGTTCCCACGCCGAGCCTGTTACCAGTTTCTTTTCCAATGGCTAGTTGATCACCCGTGATCATCTTGACATTGACACCAAAATTTAGAGCCCGATGAATTGTCTCTGCACTATCGTGCCTCGGAGGATCAAACAGTGGCAATATACCCACAAATTCCCATGGTTCCCCCGTGGCATCCTTGTTTTTCGCTTTCACAGTCTACAATATCGAAATATTCATTTTATAATAACTTTTCTTTTATTCAAATCAAGTTCGGAAGAAAGAAACACCGAATGTTACTTGTCTAGCCACAGCAAGAGATTGAGGCCCTCGATCAGCAAAGTTAGTGATGATTTCATGAGCTCTCTTCCTTTCACCATCTCGGAGATTGCATAGACCAATAATCTAGTCAAGATGTCAAGTGTTTAACACCGAGAAGTTACAGTCGTGCCCGTTATTTAAATCCCGGAGATGATAAGAAAACATTGGTACAATGCAAGTCAATCAATTTACCTGCTCCGGAGCACCTTTGCTGACTCGATGCCAACTACCATCAGGTTCAATATATGTCATGGTTGTATGCTTGTCTACCGGGTTAAAGGGAAAGAAATGGACCTCGGTAACGCCTGCTCTAGCCTGCAACCCAACCGAAAGCAATCCCCATGCAACATTAAAGACTGAAGAGTGAAAGCGTCATGGAAGGGATTATTTTTTTGTCAATCTTAACTACCTCTTTGGGATCACCTAGCATTCCAACAATACAGGTATCAATAGCATCTTGATTCTTGACCCTGGAAGCCCTTGGCGCGAGTAGAATAACCATGTCCTTGTCGAAATTGCGTGCAAACACCTGAAATCTCACAAGATGTCCCCTGTGATGAGGTTAAATGCGTTATCAATCCATGACTAGTTTTGGACTTCAGTTCTAGGACCAACCTCGATTAAGGACTTGTCTACGGTAAGCTTGTTGAGAGTTAGTGTTCCGGTCTTAACACTGCAGAGTACATTCATTCCAGCCATTTCTTCAATAGCTATCATTCTCTTCGTGATAGCTCCTTGTTGCGAAAGCCGGTGAGATCCTATGGCCATTGTCACAGATAAAACTGTCGGCATGGCAATCGGTATCCCCCCAATGAGAAGCACCAAAAGATTATCGATTCCATCTCTGTACCTGCGGTGTTGGATCGGATACATCACCACTATCTCAATAAGCATCCCTATCGCAATTGAGCATATACAGAAGTTTCCAATTGCTATCAGCACCTAAAGAAACAATCACCATTTAGTCCACATCAGGTATAATCTATGTTACTTGGATGTCGGTATGTGAAACAAGTACACGTCAGACACAAGTATGTTCAAGTTTTAGTATTACCTGCTGGAAGTGGCCTACGTTGTTGGTGTTGTCGACGAGGTGAGCAGCATTTCCGAAGAAGGTGTGGACGCCAGTGGTAATAACAACAGCCTCAATCTCACCTTGCTTGACTGTAGAACCAGAGAACACCTCATCCCCTGCATTCTTGTTTACAGGAAAAGACTCCCCGGTAAGGGTTGATTGATCAATCTTCAGTGAATCGCCTTCAAGGAGACGTGCATCTGCCGGGACAGTATCACCCAACTTAATGCTGATAATTTCTCCCGGAACCAAAATAGCAGCCTCTTGCTCGTTCCACTTCCCATCTCTTAGGACCTTCCACCATTCAAACACGCTCAAAGGGTTAAAGACATCGGAAAACATTCGAAAAAGTCATCTCTAGTTAAATCTAAGCACCTTTGTTTTGGGGGCAAGACCGGCCATAAGTGCAGCAGCAGCATTTCCGGCATTGTTTTCTTCAATGAAGCTAATAGTGGAGTTGATGAAGAGCAATGCCACAATACCAATGAAGTCCTACCAATCCAGGGGCTTTCCTTGAATTGATTAATGGAATCAGAGATTCCATATCTACTCTAAGCCTATGAATCCAAGCACAAAAAAGAAAGAAAGATGAACATACTCCACCATTGGCCAAAGCAATAGCCATAATCGCTGCAATCTCCATCACCCATGACAGAGGATTCCACATGAATCCCAAGAACTTCAAAACCTTGCTTTCCTGTTTCTCCTCAAGCTTGTTTGGACCAAAGACAAGCAGCCTCTTCTGGCCTTCCTCGCTCAATAAGCCATCTCTGGTGCATTTCAACTTCGGAAACACTTCTTCAACAGGAATCCTCTCCTGTATTAATCCACATATCAAATAGATTGAATCCCCAATCTAAATTAAGACGCCAAAACCCCGTCCCTCAATATCCTTTCCCTCCCATTCCTTTCTCTATTTTTTACATTCAACCCCCTCTTTCTCTTCATTTGTTTCACTAGCGTCTGTTTCAGCTGATTGAATCCCCAATTATCTACTACTGCTGGTGAACCCAAAACCCCTCAATAATCCCTCACTCTGCAGTTATGGCTTCCGCTTCAGGTAATTCTTTCTCATTCTCTTTCTCTTTCTTTTTGAAATGTATCTGGGTTTTAAATTTGGGATTAATCCAAATCAATTCCTGCACGTTAGAGCAAAAGATTTTGCTTTCCTTTGGTGTTTAGAGTTCAAAGTTTTGTACTGTTTTTTGTGTTTTTTTTGCGGTGTTCTTGAGTTTTCAATTAGCTACTAAGTTTCTGGGTCTTTTCTGTTTGATACCCAGTTTCTGTTGGTCCGGACGTTTTGTGTAGATATTAATCATAGATCAGCAAAATTTGATGATTTTGATTTTTTTATTTTTGAGAAATTGCAGAGCTGAAATTTTGAGAAAATGGTTTTGTAGCATTTGTTTGCTTGGGTTTTTTTTTTGTTATTATTATTTAGCTAATTAGAGATGCAAGTTAGCTTATGTGAATTTACTCGATATCTGAGCTGTAGTTGCAGGGACTTTGTGTGAAGTTCGTAGTACAGCAAGTGAACTTTCTAGAAGTGGGACAGACCTCGATGCAGAAAATTGTGATTTACATGTTACATCGCAATGCAAGAAGGGAAGGATGTCTTCAGTTTCTGATTTTTTGCCACTTGTTTTGAGAAGGATAGAGGAATCTGTACCTAGTTTACATTCCTCTGATTATTATATGGAACCTTGCTTGAAAGATATGGTGAGAATGGAACTCTTGGATCCTGGTTATTGCAGCCGAGATCCGGATTTTGTGGTTGGAAGATTTGGTTATGGATGCGTAAAATTCTTTGGGAAAACTGATGTTAGAGGGTTGGATTTAGATCAAATTGTGAAATTCCATAGGAATGAGGTGATTGTATATGAAGATGAAATCAATAAGCCCATGGTTGGTCAAGGCCTTAACAAAACTGCCGACGTAACTTTGAGACTTCAAATTGATAATTAAGACTTGGAAAAACATAAGGTAGATGGTATTGTTAAGAAATTAAGACAGAGCATGAGGAGTCAAGGGGCACAATTCATTGCATTCGACCCTACAAATGGTGAATGGAAATTCTTGGTTGACCATTTCAGTAGATATGGTTTGAGTGAAGATGATGAGGAAGATATTATTATGGATGATGCAACAGGAATTGTACAAGATCCTGAGGTAATGGATGGTGGTGGGAATCCGAGATTGATGAAGATATGCATTTGGATAGTAATGGACCATTGCTTTCTCATTCTCTTCCTGCACATTTTGGGCTGGACCATGTGAAGATGAAAGAAATGAGAATGTTGGTGTTTCCTTCTGAGGAAGAAGAGGAGCTTGAGGATTTGAGAGGGGCAGGTTCTAATCAGAAACAAGCCTTTGCGAAAAAATATGTAAGGTCCTCTTTTGAATAACTCTAACCGGAGGATGACCAATAGGTCTAGCCCACCGGTTGTCCGGAAAACCCCTGTTGCTTTACTTGAGTATAACTCTGGTACTTTCGATTCAAGCTTGTCTAGAACCGTTCTGATGACACAAGAAAATAAGAGGTTGTTTGGTTCGGGGAATGTGAGAATGAAATACATATTCTCCCGTTTGGTTGACTGTGAATCTTATTATTGGTAATGTTTTATTACCAATAGTGGATTTTTTGAAGTATATTACCGGGAATGTCATTACCCTCATTCCCTTAGGTATTGTTGGATTATCGGCGTTTTAGACTAAAATGCCCTTAAATTTTTTCTT